TGTAATGGCTGAAAAGAAAACAAAAATGAGTCTCTAAATGGTAGGTTAAAAATCATGAGGATGCAAAGGAATGAAAATGCTTTGGAGAGATAGAGGAAAAGACTATTTACAAACAAAATGTACACAAATATATACATACCTGATTTGGTAGGGCATATAAATAATATCAATGAAATGTAGAATGCACTTTAAAATCATATCTCTGATAATTTGACAAAGGATAACACTTCCTTTGTGTGATATTTGGGAACTGACAAAAAGGATGAGAACAGATGAATAACCATCAACCTTTGGTTGTCTCCCAGAGGAGCACTACAGGGACATTAATTTATCAGTACAGAGATTTTAAAGAAAAAAAAGAAAAAAAAAAAAAAGAAATAGAGAAAGTAAAAATAGTAATATTAACAAAAAAAGATTAGCAAGACATAAAAAGATTCTTCCTTTTGATTCTTATCTTATCTGTTTATCTGTTTATCTGTTCTTAGCTTATCTTCCCTGTTCCTCTGCTCACCTATTCCCTGCTCTTCAAGCCTGAGAAGAAGCAATGTCAAGGCCCCTGCTCTCTTCTCTCTCTTTGAATTGACATTTTTCAAGAATTTATATAGATTATGTACGAAGTGATGTCTCCTAAGTTATTTACATTTGCACTAAATCCCTCAATATTTGCCTCTGAAACTCTAGGAAAATCATTTTTCCCCCACTTTTCTATTTATGAATTCTTTTGAAGCAGATCTGGAAGTTTTTGCATTCTTCATTTCAAAACTTGGTGGATGAAGTGAGATTCTTTTGGAGTGATTATGCCCTTGTTTTCAAGTACACGTAACAGGTTACAGGCAGGTATTTTGTTTTTCTCCTAAATTTTTCAATTCTTTTTAACTGAGTGTTATGTTACCTGTTTAAGAGGCCACGCTGCTCTGCTGCTGAACTGGAACATGCTATCACATTCCTTTCAAGAACTTGTAAGAACTTCTCAGGGCAGTTTGATGCTAGTCAAGACTATTTGTTTGCTGTGGTTACAGCTGCGAAGTAGCTCCTACGGATGTTTTTCTAAATGCTGTTTCAATATATCCTAATAATATTAAGATACCACATGTCTACTCTGGTGTTTGCCCCTTGTGTTTTTGTATGCTCCCAAATCTGTGCACCTACTTCTGAAAATGTCAGTTCTAAACACATTCCACCTGTGCAATAATAACAATGAAGTAGATATTATTTTATATCAGAGTGAATTTTTGGTGTTACTGACAGTTACATCATTAGCCCATGGCTAGTGCCATCTAGGGTCCCCACACAGCTGTCTGTGTAGAGCAGAAGGGACAGGAAGCACATGATCCAAAATAATCATGTTCAATCTGACATTTATGTAGACTGAATAGGTGATATTTCTACTAATGATACCCAAGTCAAAGAGCAAAAGCCTGCACTGATAATGAAAACCATAGGTTGTGTAATTTTTTTTCATAATACACAACAGTATCATTACAATAATGAATAATATGGGATCATGATCCACTGACTGAAATCCTTTAGTCAGCAATACTCATTCCACTTCCTAGCTATTCATGAAAGAAAAGGACATAATACCACAGATCCTAGCTGGCCTTGATGCAAATTACTAAGATGAACTGTACTTGGAAAGTCCATCCTCTGAAAAAGTAATTATCCACACGACTCACTGAGTCTCAGCAGAGGAAATCTGATCAGTCCCTCCATGAAACAAACAGTGGCCATTAGAGGCAAAAAGAGGAAGTTTGAGTATGCTTTGCTTTCCTCTGATGTTAATGTCTTCTCACATCCTGCTCATTCAAAACCTTATAGCTTCTAGCTGCCCAGCGCTCAAGGGTTTCACTGAGAATATCAGAATGGCCTGGAGCTCAGGGTGTGAGATCAGAACCATTAGGGACAATAACACAAGCTGAAGAAACTGGAGAAAGAAGACAGAAGTGGCTTAGGATGTACTTGAGGTATCAGATCAAAGAGATGATTTGTGAATGGAAAAACTCAGATCCAAAACATGCTGAGTGAAAGGAAGAGCTGACAGAACTGAAGCAAGTCTGTTTTTTTTCTATTGCTGTTAAATCTGTACTCTGCTTAGCAAAATTACCATGACCCTCAGGGATGTTACAAGTCAGGAACTGAAGAAGATGGTGGCACTAATAGGCAATAGACCACAGGTAGTGTTTATTAGACTGAGCTATCTTCCCTGCAATTGAAATGGCTCTACTCTTACTCATCTGTCCTCTTCCTCTGTGCAGATAACACTTAGGCACAGATTACAGGAACAGGAGCACAGAACATTTTAATCTGAGATATTTTCTTTTGTCCTGTAGGCATGAAGTTGGAGGGCACACACTGGGTGCCTTCAAAGAAAGGTATTCCATGGGACACCACACTGGAAAGAGCCCAGGAAGATTTCCAGAGGTTTCACTACATAAAACTGTCTCTAAGATTTAAAACTCAGAGGAGTGGGTCTCTGTAAAAACAGGGCTCTTTCATCCAGATCTTTTCAGTTTTGACACAAAATTACATAAATCAAGTCAAGAGATGAAGCATCAGCCAATACCAGAGCCTCTTTTTAACTCTGTCCATTACATTCCAGGAAGAAGGGAGGAGAAGGGAACTTAAGATATTTACTTTAACTCCTAAAACCCATTTTCCTGCATACTCTGTTCAGGGTACTTGCCTCTTCTCCACCATCTTTAATTGTTGCATAGAAATATTTTGTCTTTGAAACCCATCTTTAGAGGCAAGCCCCTCCACATCTAGCTGCCAGACTTGACAGCTGGGATTTTGCAGATCCCTACACACATGCTTAGTGCATAGCATTTTGGTTGGACGTCATGACATCATAATGTCATGATACGGAATACTGATAAAACCAGGACACTTACACACCAGGAATCAATATGTGCTTTCATACCTGACTAAATGTGGTTGCTGGTGAGAATTGTAAAGAACTGCTCTACAATTCTCAAAGTGGCTGTCCTGACAAAATCGCAGAATCACAGAAGCACAGAACTGTAGGGTTTGGAATGGACCTCCAGAGATCATCGAGTCCAACCCCCTGCCAAAGCAGGTTCCCTACAGCAGGTCGCACAGGTAGGCATCCAGGCAGGTCTTGAACATCTCCAGAGAAGGAGACTCCACCACCTCCCTGGGCAGCCTGTTCCAGTGCTCCGTCACCTCACTGTAAAGAAGTTCTTGCGCACATTGGTGCAGAACTTCCTATGCTGCAGTTTCCGGCCGTTTCCCCTTGTCCTGTCTCCACTCACCACTGAAAAGAGTCCGGCCTCGCCATTCTGCCCCCCACACCTCAGATATTTATAGACCTGGATCAGATCCCCTCTCAGTCTCCTTTTCTCAAGGCTGAACAGACCCAGATCACTCAGCCTTTCCTCATAGGAGAGATGCTCCAGGCCCTTCACCATCTTTGTGGCTCTCCGCTGGACTCTTTCCAAGAGATCCCTGTCTTTTTTGTACTGGGGAGCCCAGAACTGGACGCAGTACTCCAGATGAGGCCTCACCAGGGCAGAGTAGAGGGGGAGGATCCCCTCCCTCAACCTGCTGGCCACGCTCTTTTTAATGCACCCCAGGATGCCATTGGCCCTCTTGGCCACAAGGGCACACTGCTGGCTCATGGCCAACCTGTCATCCACCAGGACACCCAGGTCCCTTTCCGCAGGGCTCCCCTCCAGCAGGTCATCCCCCAACCTGTACCGCTGCATGCAATTATTCCTCCCTAGATGCAAGACTGTACACTTGCTTTTGTTAAACCTCATTCGGTTTTTTTTTTGCCCAGCTCTCCAGCCTGTCTTGCTGAATGGCAGCACAGCTTTCAGGCGTGTCAGCCAATCCTCTCATCTTTGTGTTATCAGCAAACTTGCTGAGGGTGGCCACTATCCCCTCATCAAGGTCATTGATGAAGATGTTGAACAAGACCAGACCCAGCACAGACCCCTGAGGAACACCGCTGCTTACAGGCCTCCAACCGGACTCTGCACTGCCAACGACGACCCTCTGTGCTCTGCCAGTCAGCCAGTTCTCAACCCACCTCACTGTCCATTCATCTATCCCACACTTGCTCAGCTTTGTTATAAGGATGTCGTGGGGGACAGTATCAAATGCCTTGCTAAAATTAAGGTAGACACTGCTCTCCCCCTATCCACCCAGCCAGAGACAACATCATAGAAGGCTACCAGGTTGGTCAAGCACGACCTCCCCCTGGTGAACCCATGCTGACTACTCCTGATTACCTCCTCTTCTTCCAGTTGTTTGGAGATGACATCCAATACAAGCTGTTCCATCACCTTTCCAGGGATGCAGGTGAGGCTGACTGGCCTATAATTGCCTGGGTCTTCCTTCTTGCCTTTTTTGAAGACCGGGGTGACGTTGGCTATCTTCCAGTCTTCAGGCACCTCCCCCGTCCTCCAAGACCTCTCAAAGATGACAGAGAGAGGTTCAGCAATCCCCTCTGCCACCTCCCTCAGCTCCTGTGGATGAATCCCATCGGGTCCCATGGATTTGTGAACATTGGTGTTGCCTAGGCGCTCCCGGACCACCTCTTCTCTGACAGAAGGGAGGTCTTCCATTCCCCAGATCCTCTCACTAACCTCCAGGGTCTCAGATTCCCAAGGGGGAGCTTTTTCACTGAAGACAGAAGCAAAGAAGGCATTCAGTATCTACGCCTTCTCAGCATCCCCCGTTACCAGAACACCTCCGTCACTTAGCAGGGGAGCCACATTCTCCCTAGTCTTCCTTTTACTGTTAATGTACTTAAAAAAACCTTTTTTATTATCCTTTATCCCCTTTGCCAGATTTAATTCTAGGTAGGCTTTAGCCTTCCTCGTCGCATCCCTGCAGGCCCTGACAACGTTCCTGTATTCTTCCCAAGTAGTCAGACCCTTTTTTTTTTTTTTCATGGGCCTTCTTCTTTCCTTTGAGTTTGTGCACGAGCTCCTTGCTCATCCACACAGGTCTCCTGCCACCTTTTCCCGATTTCTTCCTCACAGGGACGCACCGATCCTGAGGTTGGAAGAAGAGCTGCTTAAATGCTGACCAGCTCTCACAGGCCCCCTTGCCTTCCAACACCCTAGCCCATGAGACAGCTCCAAGTAGGTCCCGGAAGAGATTGAAGTTGGCTCTCCTGAAGTCCAGGGTAGCAATCCTACTTTTTGCTTTACTTCTTCGAGTTCAGGCTCTTGAACTCCACCATCTCGTGGTCACTACAACCCAAGCTGCCCCCGACCTTTACTTCCCTGACAAGCCCTTCTCTATTAGTGAGAATAAGGTCCAGCAGTACCCCTCTCCTCGTCGATTCCTCAACCACCTGCATCAGGAAGTTGTCTTCAACACATTGCAGGAACCGTCTGGACCGCGCATGCCTGGCCACATTGCTTTTCCAGCAAATATCTGGATAATTGAAGTCCCCCATAAGCACCAGCGCCTGGGATCGTGACGCTGCTTCCAACTGTTTGTGGAAGGCCTCATCAACCTCCTCCTCCTGATCAGGGGGCCTGTAGCACACACCCACAACGGTGTCAGCCATACCAGCCCGCCCCTTGACTCTTACCCACAAGCTCTCCACTGCTACACCGCTCTCCCCCAGGTGGAGTTCAATACATTCAAGCTGCTCTCTTACATAAAGAGCAACTCCACCACCCCGCCTCGCTGGCTGATCTTTCCTAAAAATCACATAGCCCTCCATGACAACATTCCAGTCATGTGAGCTGTCTCACCACGTCACCGTGATCGCAATGAGATCGTAGCCATGTGACCGCACACAGATCTCCAACTCTTATGAGTTGGAGATGAGTTGCTTCAGGGCCACGTGTCACCCAGGCAGACTCATTGCAGACACTGTAGTTATGGGTGAATATACTGCTTTGCCTGCTCCAAATCAAGAGAAATAAAAGCAGGCAGTCTATTTTATAGGTGGATTAAAGTAAGAGATGACATCTTGTCTTTCATCTGGCTGTGTCTTTCCATCTCCCTCACCCAGCTCCTCCTTACGCACTACCTACAGACATCCCCCATTTGACATTTCTATCCATGAAAGCCCTCCGAGTTGACTGACAGGTCTTTTCGATATCACACAGCCTGTCCCAGCTCATTGTTTCAGGAGGTCAGAGACAGGTATGTAAGCATGGCTGCATCCCCACCTCATCAATCAACCAGCAGTGATGATAGGGCAGATGAAGTCATCCACTCAATTAGGTTCCTGTGGTCTACAATTTGCCAAGAGTTTGACCACAACTCCCTGATGTGTGTAGATGGCTTCTATGATTCCCAGGTGGTCTTCCTTCGAAATGCATCCCCAACCTGGGCCAGACTATCATTCAAAAACAAATGATACCAACACAGTTATGGGCTGCAAAGATAAGTCTTTAATAAAGTATACACTGGTTTGATGTAGGAAAAAAGGACAGTGAACAACCACTACTTGTGGAGTCTTAGTGAACATGAAGATATAACTACTCCTTTTTGTTTGAGAACAGCAGAAAAGAAAGGCTTTCATTTCATTGTCTTTTTTCTTAGCCAAAGTATTACTTTAAAAGTAAAAACTTATGCAGTGGTTATTTAGTAATTTTCCTTATTTGAAAATTAGAGCTGCTATCACATCATGATCACATAACTTAATCCCCAGAGTCTCTGCTCTCTCCCTTACCTCTTCTGTCCAGCTCTGCTCTAGCATCCCACAAGTCCAGACTGTGACAGTAAGATAAATATCAGCTTCTAGTACAAAAGCCCCTTTCCAGTGAAATTTGATATGATTTTATGATTTGATTCTACAAGAGGAGCACCCAACTGAGCTCTGAATCAATACAGTATTCATTAAAGGCCATGGTCACTGGCTTGCTGTCCAAGCAGAAGAAGGTGTCTCTCTGTATTTTCCTTTCTACCATACTGCCTGCACAGCTAGGTATGAAACGTGCAGGAAATAATTAATAAATCAGCAGAAAAAGCTTGAATCCTTTCATAATATTTTATATAGAATCATGAAATACAGGAAAAGAGCTGCAAGAAGCAGGGAGGGAGAAGTGGGGAAAAGCAGCAGATGTTGTAAAAGATCTACTTTTGTGTTCCCTGTGCACCAGAAATGTGCAGACGTATGTTGGCAGACCTACAGTCAGAGTCCACAGCAAGGCTATATCTCACACATCTGGAAGCTATTTGGCAGAGTGTAGAGTTCAAATGTTTTCTGCTTCAGCTGGACTCAGACATACCTTCCAGTGCCAGGCCAGGCATAGGACAGCTCAGTGTATAGGCTCATTGAGGAAGGCGTTCACCACTGCTGCAGTGTGCTCCCTTCAGCTGCTGTCAGAGGCAGGCCTGGGCAGGGGCTTGCTTTCCCCCACTTGGCTGTGTAGTGCCAGTAACACTCAGTAATGAGGATGATAATAAAGAAACTGGGAGGAGAGCAAGGACAAGAAAACGGCACCACAGCCCAGCAGAGCCTGGCCTCATGTCAAGAAACAAAATGTACTTGGACAAAATCCATTGTGTTGAGTTAACTTGAGAGCAGAGCAAGCCATTCAGGAAATAAGAAGTTTTGCGTTGCATGGGAACATGCAAGGGTCACATCAGAGCTGATGTCCTTTTTGCAGAAATGCCCCTATTTAAAAATGATAGAAAAATACAAGGAGAAAGGAAAAGCTGGGACTCCCACCCTAGGGGGCAGCCATCCAAAGCCTGTGGAGAAGCTAAGTCTGTGGCTGGGTACAGGACTACTGGCAGTGCACTGACGTAGGTGTAGGAGCTCCCAGCAGCCATCAGAGGTTAGCTCTGCTTTAGGAAGAAGGCATGGGATCCTTTTTCTAGCAGGGATGAACTTCTGGCAGTTCTCAATGTATAGCTAACATGGTTTAGCCACATGCTATGCCTGGTGAGGAAGCAAGCCACTAGTAAGGTGTGACCCAGCAGGCTTATGCTACTGGCATGGCGCAGCATTCAGGGACCTAAGCACCATTCTAGCTTCTCTGTGTAGATACTGTAGTTACTGATCTCTCTTCTAGACCAGGGCGTCATGCACACAAACTGGTTAGGAAATATTGGATAGTGGGTTCTATCTGCAGGGCTTGTGCTCTGAAGCGGGAGGACACTACTCATCCACCAGCCTTGAGCCCTGCACTGATGCTTTTCCTGGATTCGCATTTCCACATAGCTTTTCCAAAAGTATGACCATCCCAAACTGTTCCTCAGCTATCTGAGCTGCAGCCTGACATTGATGTGGGACTGCTCTATTTCTTCAGCTGACACAAGAAGGTCAGTCAAGGATTGAAAAGACCCAGGAGAAACACTGAGATGTTTTATATCAGTCTCAAATTTGCAGCCAGATGAGACTTCCATATCATTAATCAAAATACAGCAAGTCAGAGGAAGAGCCTGCACCTGTGGCATAACAGAAATTGAACCCTGGAACAAATTTAAAGTATATGTTTTGGGTGGCTGGAAAATCACAGCAGTCTGTGACCTGGATAATTAATCTTCGTCTTACAAACAGCTTCACTACAAAATACACATGACTATAAGTATCTAATTCACTTTTGTTCAACCTGATGTACTTTGAGTAGCAGTATCAAATGGAACTAGATGTCCTGCAGTGGAAAAATGGGCTTAGCTATAACATTTAAATGTTCTGTCTCAACACAGTAGCTCATGTCCACCATCCTTTGGTGGAATAAAGGAAAACTGTTTTAAAATGATTAAAATGCACATTTGCAGCACTTGCAGTATCTCCACTTTGCTTTGTCTAAATGCTGTGCGTTACAGAGCAAGATGCAAGTGGTCACTTGTTGATTTTCCATCCAAGAGAAGTGAGAGTGCCTGCAGAACAGACCCAAAGCTCTACTCCTCCAGCCTTGCAGGCACGGAAAAATAGATAGGATGCCTTCGTCCTCATATTTGAGGAACAGGAGCACTGGAAAATATCCCAGCACAGCCTGAAGAGCAAGCCACCTTTTCCATGCTTGTAAAGGGGAAGGGACAAAAGCACTCCCAAGAATGCCTGTGGACAGAGAGCAAAATCTTCTATTAGGCTGCTAAACAGCTGGAGAAACACACACCAGTTTTCAGCATTCAAGAATTTTCTCAGGTCTGAAATGAAAGTGTGTTATCCCTGGGAAAAGCCACAACTCATGGGAAAAGGAAGTATCCGAGAAAATAACTGGATATGGAGAGTTGCTAGATTATCCATGCAAATATGAAATAATAAGTAGTGAGATTACTATATACTGCTACAGTACTTGGCCACGGGAAGTAGGCAACCAGAGCTCACTCAAGGGCAGCAAGAAGCCAACACACTGCACTGGACAAAGCAGACAGTGTTGGTGGCCAGGTTGGGAACAGAAGTGTGCACATGCTGGAGACATCAATCAAGAGCTGGCACCAAAGGTGGGGTTCAAACCCTGGGGCAGGAGGAAGGTCATGTCTATCACTGAAGCCTTGAGGGACTGACCATCAAGGGAGGCTTTCAGAGGCAGCTGCAGTTTGCAGCACACCAGTGAGTGGCCCTGCAAATTCACCAGATACCAATGCATCTCAGCAGCTGGTAGGAAAGCAAAGGAAAAGCCAAGGCTTTTTACAGACATTTTGTCTTCACACATGGATAAGTAATCTTTGTTGTGTTCCTGAGCTCCAAGTGATTTCCAAAGAGCATGGTGATGTCAGCATCTAGTGTTTTTCCTGACCATGGTAGAAGCTGAGTCCATTTACAAAGCTGCCCTACTGGAGAGGCTTCAGAGCTCCAAGAGACAGTGTCTGGAGCCCGTAGTGAGTCCCTGCTGCAAAGCACACAATGATGGGTCATCCTGTGGGTTCTATAATTCTGAAAAAAGAGAGGTACAAGGTACAATGTTATTTTTTCCAGCTGCCAGTGAAACTTGAAAGCTGATTAATTCTGCAAAAGCTGCCACAGCAGCCAGAACATTAGCTGTGGAAGTACATGAGGTATTGCAAGGAGTCAAGGCCACTGACCCTAGCACAGTGAAGCAGAATGACAGCAACGAGGCCTCATCTCAGAGAAAAATCTGTCTTGCTACATATCATTTCTACAATGGAATCTCAACAGTATTATACATAATTGCCAGCAATCCCACTACTTTTTTGCTTATGGACTTCTTTGTTTAAGACAACATGGAAATATTGCTGACAATTGTGAAGGGAGGTTACAGAGCTGCAACAAAGCATGCAATTTCGTAGATGATCAAAAGTCAACTATAAAAGTCAACAATTAAGATCAAATAGAATTAGACCAACTAAGGTGAGAAAGAATTTTTAAACAGCTGTTTCAATGTTTTCCAAGTGTCAAACTTAGAATACTTAATTTGAGACAAATCTAACACACTCCATAGCTCCAAGGTAATATTTTCTTTATTACATTTCACCTGAAAAAAAAATTTCTGTTGTTGTTTGGAATGTTTTGGTGT